ACGATGGAAATTACGAACTGTTTTCGATTATTTGGCTTTTTCATATTTATAAATTCATTGAACGTCTTACAGTTTCAAGAAGTTTCAACAAAACAAAAGAGGTTTTCTGCAGTTTAAATTTTCTTGCAAAATAGATTCCTCAGTACTTACTCAAGTAAAAGCTCAATTAATTCATCCAAATCTTTAATCCACTCCTTTGGTGACCCCTCGACAATCATAATCACTTTTCTTTGAAATTCTTCTATGGCTTTCGACTTCTTTTCTTTATGCAAGTTTTCTAGTTCAGCCTCACTCAAACCTTCTTTCGCACGCTGAAACTTGGTGTGTATGCAAAATTTTCACTTCGTAAAGGTTGTGAAGAGTTCAGCAGGCAATTGTCATTATGTCTTTAGGTGGAAAAAAATATTACCTGTTTTATTTCAAAAACATATAAATTTTTGCACTTAATTAATGTATTTTCAACTTCCTCAAGATTGCGAGCATTTTCTTGTATAACGTCCGCTGTCTTTTGATACCTGTCCTGTAATTGTACTAGCCGACATGATTTTGTGAGATACATTCAGTGTTTAGTAAAAACCATCACAAAGAGAACAAAATCCAAGTCTTACTTTTTTCCAATTCACTTGATAACAATACCATTTTACAACGTAGCATGTAGTAAAACTACCTCGATGACTTGCTCCAGGTTTTCAATCCAATATGCAGGTGATCCACAGACAGTTGCTTCAATATCTTTTTTGAACTCTTCAACGGCTTCACACTTTTTTTGTTCGTGGAGATTTTTTAATTCATCATCGCTTATGCTTCCTTTCAACTGCAAAAAATTTATTTTGGGAAAAGCAGGCGACTAGTAGAAATAGCACGCCATTAGCACCTGTGCTGATACTAAAAAATCTCTATAATTATATGCCATCGTAAACAAAACTTCAGAAATAAGAGGAGCTGCTTACGTCACAAACAAAAACGAAGAAGTCATCTAAAAGTTACACATGAAAACTTAGGTCGGAAAAAAAAAGAGGTAAACTAAGAATACACTAACCGTTGTGAAGTTGACTATCTTTTTCACTAAAGGACATTCATTAAGGAACTACACAGAGGCAAAGTCTTTATTCATAGAATATCACCATACTTGTTCTGACAAAAGGCACACCAGCCAGTTCCCAAATTTTTTGTCAGTAAGAGCACTAAAATATTAAAAAGTGTACTATAAACTCACTGGCTCAGTCCGGTTGCTCGAGGTTGATATTCCTGCATCATTCTGTTCTGAGTGCTGAAATGAATATATTGATACCAGAAAAGCAATAATCTTAGCAGTTAGCTTTTAGCGAAAGAAAGTGTACTTGTAGTGTATAAATTCAACTCCTGCACTTTGTAGGGTTTTT